ACAAATCTTAGGATGCGATCTATGAGGATTATTGCTGAAAGTTTCCATCGCATAACTAGCAGGTCTTAAGTAATGATGCACATTCTTGATGGCCGATAAAGGTGCTCACAAAAACTCCCGATGCAAAGTTTTGGATGCACGCCATTGAACACACGAGTTAAGACGACCTTAAACAAACCCGATAGTTTTTCGTTTTCAGCTTGACAGTTCTGTCAACGGTACAATTCGTTGAAGTCAAACTGGATTGCGTAAAGGAAGAATCGTTCAACACATCTCACGATGAGTTCTGTCAGCGGGTTATCTATCTGCTGGTCAATCTTTAAAAGCCCCTGTACTGGAATCCTTCTTGGTAATTCTATAAACTAAATGTCATCGCTTCTGGATACTAACTATCGACCAGTGCGTCAACGGTACGTCAACCAAGGGAAGACCAATGAATCTACAGAGAATGATCCAGCTGTTATTGTCATACAGAGGCAAAACAGTGAGAAAGCTGAGAAGATTTCAAAAAGAGATGAAGATTCATCCAATGTTAATTCATGCATCAGAGATTCCGGAAGAACACAGCACTAACTCTGACATTATTGTTCGTAAGTTCACTAAACTGTAACTCGTGAGGGACGTGGTCAAGGCGATTAACGCCAATAATATTGCAGAAAACCCTTTTATACTTGTCTGACTTCATTTTGTAGAATTTAGGGAAGTGTGAGGTGTGTCGCATAATTCTTCCTTTACGCAATCCAATTTGACCTCGACGAATTGTATTGTTGGAAACAATGCAACATTCAAAACGAAGACGTATCAGTTTTGCTTAAGGTCGTCTTAGCTTGTGTGTTCAGTGGCGTTTATCATAAGCTTTGCATAAGAGGTTTTTATTGGCAGCTTTTTTCGGCCAGCAAGATTGTGAATCATCATTCGTGAATGCACTGTGCCTTTCACTTCTGCTTTCTGGTTAACTTAACATGCTATCTGAACTAACCAAACCAGGCTTATTTCATTACATTATATTAGAAAGTTCTCGTAAAATATAAAATGTCAATAATATCTAAAATTTCGCACTGTTTTTTGTTGACTCTGGTCGACCGAATATATATGAACACTGAACAACAGAATATGTCCATCATTTGTAATGACGATTATCCAAGTAAGCGCCACGCAATAATCGTTTTCGTCCTCGTTTGAAATGCTCATGTCAGTGCATTTTTAGATGGCGTATAATTTAACGCTCATCCTTAATATTTCCTGATTGATATAATTGCATAATCATACGGATTGTGTCAATTAATACGGTATTATAAGTAAGAATAAAGTCTTCCGGCAAGCTAGCAAATAAATTATTGTGGCAGTTGTGGCAACGTGGTAGAAAAAATGACTTAACCAGATCTGAGGAGTATTTTGCAGCTTGTCTCATTCATTAACATGTGCTTATCTGTGTCTATTTACATCCTTGATTTTTTGTTCACATAGTTGACTCCCCCAAATATTTATACACGATTCAACAGCACCACGGTTTTGAGATATCTAACCAAATGCAATATCCTTTCGGTTTGAATGTTGCAGAAAACACCGGTGTTAAAAATTGACTGTTTTAAGTTTGAGCGCTTACACACACGGCATAAATTGGTGTGTTTAGGGTCTGTTGAAATTTTTCTGGGTAATCAGTTTACCAAAAGTGTTCATGCAAAAACTGACTTGAAATTCGTAGTAATGGACAGGTGTCATTAACCTGGCTACTCGTCAATCAACGTGTAGTAGCGCGACAGAAGTACACCAACGCTGGTCGTTAGGAGCCTTCATTGATCATAAATGTTGTGTTGTATGATACTGATTTCCTGCTACCCTGAATCAACAGCGACAATGTTCGATAATCAGCGATTGAAATTAAACAGGAATGACATTTTGGAATTGTGCAAAGTTAGTCAGGATGTTTGACGGAGTGTGCTTCGAAAGAACCACTCAAACGTTTCTGATGAACGTTAGTTATAACAGTTATCATTTATTCGTATGCGTGTAATGCACGGACTATGATTTGTCAGTTTAGTTGATTGTCACAGACAGATAATTTTATCTGGAAAACGTAGTCATTGTTGAATACTCAGCGTGCCTCATTATGTGGGCCGGTTGATTTAGTTTTAGGAAGAAAACAACAAAATTTATTGTTAGCTTGAGGTATTTTGTCCAACCTCGCAATTTCCGCCAGTGCTAATCAGTGGCAAGCAGCCTAGCTGACCAGAAATAAACAAGCACATGTATGTCCTTTCTGTCAACCGCTTCAGTTCTGTATACCTCTATTGTTTAATTAATACTTTCAACCATGGAAATTGGTATTTAATTAAATTTCTTAAATGTGTCAACGTGTAGAACGGAGTTTATAAGCAACAATAGTAAACATTCGAAAGAATTAAACGCTCAGAGCCTCCAGCGTCGTAGATATCAAAATAAGTCTATTGATTATTTGGTGCGCATCGATATATAGTACTGAGTATGTTTGCCGTTAACGAGTCGCGTGTGTAAACCAATTTCGAATATATAATACTATCAGAAATGTTAAGACGAGCATGGATGAGATACCTAAAAGCGAAATCTCAGTAAACACGGCCAACAAGTTAGCCTCAAGAGCAATAAATAAGCGAGCGTTTCTACCAGTTACTTCTACTAAAAAACTTGTTTTACATAAGATTATAGATTGAAAAGTGTATATAGGCATACATGGAAAAATACGGAGCAACCAAGTATACTCATTAGAAATTCATACAAATTGAGGTGGAGGCTAGATTTCCTGATAAGTCTGGTGATGAACTGAGTCGCTACTGTACAATAATCGTGAAAGTTTCAAGGAATACAAGAAAACTTGAATAATTCGAACAGTAGCCAACCAAATATTTTTCAAGTATTCATAGAGTGGGGAAGTAGAGAACTATAAAAGCTGATGCGGTTAGATGTATGAAAAAAGGTTCGAACAGAGGCTTAAATGAGCAGGCCAACAAAAGATGGCAAACAGGGATGGATAGACGATTGCTTTGATCTTGTCAAAAACATGAATGCCATCAATCTCTTCCTCTGTAAATGGATAAGATTCAGGTGAGATTGACGAGGTGTTATCTAGAGTATCTTTTAAGCTCCGTCAATACTCAACAACTTGTTAAGGTTGATAGAGTAATAGTACGTTACTAAGAATACTATGGTTGCTGATTTCAACAAGATTAAGCATCATGATGAGATCTCAGATAGAGATTCGGCAAACTGGTACAGGTATTTAAAGTAAATCTCTACTTTAACTTGAAACCAACAGTATAGCTAACAAGATTACGGTCGAGATAGCAATTGGTGAGATAGTTAAAAGACTTGCTTATGTTGTGACGGGTTTTTGGAATATGTGAATCCTAGTGCAAAGTGAACGTCTAATGGACTGACTGTAAAACTCAATAAGTGTACATAAATATGGCATGTTTTACTTTATTGTTCTCAATTTTGTAAGAGTTTAAACACAGGGTAATAGTGAGGTGACTGTGAGTAGTCCACATGCAACACTTCTCATGGGAGCTTGTAAAATAAGACACCGTCCCCATTTCTGAAACGAGAAGCAATGTCACTGGAAGTTATTTTCCTTCCCGACTGAACGACATAGTGGTTTGGAATTATCTGATTGTAGACCGACATTTTGACAAGCTACGAGAAGCGTTGCTTAATGTACTGATATATGGATGGTCTACTGCTGAGCTGTTCCACGATTAACCGGGGATTTAAGCTGTTGACTATCCATGTTTGTTGAATTCTCCCTTCTTTTCGACGGGAGGATGAACAACACTTCCGTGTGCGACAAGGCAAAACATGATTAACACTTAAACTCCCGCCACTATGGGTTTTTAACCTTCCTAAGTTTGTTTAGGGCGTAGGGCACACATATTTGTAAATCTGACAAAGATTTTAGATCCCTTAGAGGAAAGGGCATCATGCAATCGTGGTAAATAATTGAAGGAAAAGCGGACAACAACGGCAAATTAACTCTATATTTGTGATGACCAAATCATACATTTCCCATTACTGTTACGTATTCCCAACTATCACAATATTATTGGCATCCCAAATAAAACACTAGATTTTTAGAACGGAGTGACTGCGATCTATGGTCTTTCATTGAGGTTGTGGGGGTGTGGAACTGCCTAATGACCAGGACTGTTACATGCAGACAACAGTGAACAGAGTTACTAAGAGTTCGGTGATTAGAGAATGACCTCAAATATGTGTTAGAACTTTACGATTTTAAAGGTATATCAGGCGACAAAATGGAAATCTTTGTTATCCTCAACACGCGTAAACTGACGTGGCTGTCTGCGACTGCGCATTGATGCTAGCCTTCGGAATAAACCCAAATACGACCTTTAATGCATTTAAAATACATTCTTTAAAACTGGGAATGCGAGTTTCAGAACTTCATACCTCCCAAAACTAAAAAGATGCTGTCAACAGTGAAATACACTGATGTTTTTAATATGTTGCTCTCACAGCATCTCTTCTTATAATATATAACAGAGAAATGTATAAGTGATGATATATTATGTCATTTGAACATTTCAAGGCAACACATTTCAAATGTTTTTGAGAATTACTCGATTCCCTCTTTCTGAGGAATAAAGATAATTTGTATACCGTTAATTAGGTTACGTAACTGCTTTCTACTTATCCCTTGTCTGACGCAGCAGCGATGCTTATTCCCCTGGTATCACGTGTTTGTGACATAAGCTGTCATTTCTTCACGTTGTTTTCCTACAGGCCCGTTGATAGATAATTGTATGCGCGCCACTGGTAAAACGTGTCAGTAATCAAATAAGCAGGTTTATTGAGAATTATTCACTTAACGACAAGCGAAAGGTAAAGTTGTTTTCTATCTGACTACGCCTATGATATTAATATGCAAACATCAACTCGTCAAACCGTAATTGTAATAAATGGGTGCAATTAGACCAATATTGAATGCTTACACGGAGATCATGGTAACAGCCTCGGTAGCTTAGTTGGTTAAAGCGCCGTACTTATAATGCGAAGGTCGAGAGTTCGAAACTCTCCCAGGGCACGTCACTTTATGTATGAAATACGAGTAACTCCCGTTTAGGGCATTAGCGAGTCGTGACACACCCCCTGACTTTGTCGTCAAGATGATCCGACGGCGAAGGCTGTTTTATTTCATATTTGGCTTATCCTTGTATACTTCTTTTTTTTCTGTGACCCATTAATTATAAAATCTAATGCTTTGTGTGTTTTCGTTATTTAACTATGTTTATTTTAAACTGCTTAGAGCAGTCTTAAGTATGCACAAGCAGTGTAATCAGTTGTTTTCGCCTATGCTGGCTGTCATCTGGCAATGTGGAATACGTATTCATTTAACACAATGCTGACGCAAAACTGTAACATATATGGCCAATTTGTTGGTATGTTCATCTTAATAATAAGTGGTGGTTGTTCTGAAAGGCTTTCCGTACAACGTGCTTTAATGTACCATGCTTATCTGGATCTACTCTATGTTATTATGGAGGGCAGTCGCCAATGGTTACACCAACTCGTATATATTATGCTTCACATAGAAGTCCAATTAACATTTTAACGGCATTAGACTCGAAAGATGAGAGTAGACCTTAACTTACGGGAAGGAAAACTGGCATTCATGTCCAACTGACAATGTTATAGGTTGAGACTATCGTCAAAGTTTGACTGTGCTGCCTTTAACATTGTTTCATTCGTGTATCATAATGATAACTATCATTCTACCGATCGGCAAATAGAGTTACGAAGCTCACATCTCAGTGATCTCCCACATCTTAAGCTTAGTTCATATAGATTGAACACCACCCACAATTGACACCTCTTGCACTCCCGTTAACATTCCAGACGGCCCCTTTCGATAAAAGAAGCAATAGACTCGACTTTTGCTTTCATTAGAGCTCGTCAGTAGTGCATATCCTTGCCACTGCCGGGACTAGAACTCCGACCACGTTTTCATGGGGTGATCGTGCTGACCACTGCGCCATTGACCTCACATTAGGCGTGACTGAATCATCATATGTGAACGCTCAACCACTTTTGCTTGTGATGGATGATCAGGTTGTCCGATCGCCTCCAGAAGAGACGCATTAATTGGTCCGTTAACTCTAAGTTGAAATAACAGGAATCACCAACTTGTTCAGCGGTATTTATTACCGATTAGTAGTAATGATGTTCAGTTTGTATGAAAATCAAAATCCCCTACTACTCATCAAAAATATATGACCCACAACGAAATCATCCTAGTCAGCGCGCAGCCATCACTCAAGCCCGACTGCGGGACTGAAGTTAAGCCATATTCGCTGAATTGTCATCAGCTTAACGTGAGAGATATATGTGAGATACATTTCTCATTTTTGTTTCCAGTCGTGTTTATAAGCGAATACTTGAGTAGTTCATACTATTCTCTCGGTACCACCTGCATTGAAAGCATTTAACAAGTAGACCGATGTTTCGTACTCAATGCTACCTGACAGGCCCTCAGATGATGATTACTGTATGGGGACCACTATTTCCGAACAACACCCAGATAAGATGACGGACCACAATTCTGATCCCATTGTGGTTCCAATCCCCCCTTATAGAGAGATTACGGCGTTTCCGACTGCAAATATTTCCCACAAAGTCTGGATCTCTGATTTACACTGGACGGCTGATCGGGTAATTTTGCAGACACTGGTTAACAGACAGTAATTATGTCTCCTCCCGAGGCGATCGGGCAACCTGATCATTACTCACAAGCGAAAGTGGATGAGCGTTCTCATATGATAATTCGGTCGAGCCTAATGTGAGGTCAATGGTGCAGTGGTAAACACGGTTGCCTCATGAACAGCATGTCCGTGGTTCAAGTCCCGGCAGTGGCAAGGATATGCACTACTGACGAGCACTAATGAGAGCAAAACTCGAGTCTATTGCTTCTTTTTTCCAAAGGTGCCGTCTGGAATATCATCGGGAGTGCAATAGGTGCTGTCAATTGTTGGTGATTTTCTTTCTATATGAAAACCAAAATCCCATACTACTCATCAGCTAAGCTTATTTGTTTGATCATAAAAGGCTAGTAACTTAGGAACTGAATCGCACACTAGTTGACTGCAAAGGAATATACTCGTACCCAACAAATATTCTATTTCAATGAAGGCGATGAACAGGTTAACAAAGGTATTGATTTAATAATGACGCGTGGTGAGTTATGTGAAGATACGGGTGTAAAACAGAGAGCACTTTGGTGAAATCGAAATGCCAGTAAAAGTGGAAGCCAAGTGCCTTGTACCGCTTGCATCACCTTTGTCGCTGAAGTCTGTTTCATGCAGAACTAAGCCCAGAAATCGTAATATTAATTTGGCGTGAGTGCAATCTTAACTTTGCAATACGTTCTAAATGTAGATCATAATAAGTGATCAGCACGATGTTTCCAATCCGGAGTTCCTAATATTAATATTAACCTATGACTATAACTTTTACTCACAACAGAGTTGAACATGATAGCAAGATACTTAACGTCCATAAGTCACTAATCATCCGTGGATGTCTGACTGACTAGAACTGATCTTTTCTTGAATGCTTCTCTTAAAACAGTAGTCCTTATGAATTTAGTATACATACTTTGATTGCTTACTACGAACAATTTCACATGTGCACATAAATCTCTCTTGACCCCCCAACAAGCGAATGGATGATATTTGTTTTTTTTTCTACAAATGATATTCTAGATAATCCTCTAAGTTTCAGATCATAAAACAAAAGAATTGTTTACAAGTGACAACTTACTCTGACATTGAACTTGGTAAAAAATTAGCAAAACTAAGCAACAGAATATCAAGCTTGTATGCATATTATTTGGTGTGTTTTTCGCGTGACCTCAGGTTGCCGAAGTTACCTTAACGAAGGCTTTTATACTGCACCACTGGCATGAAATTCGTGTTACTGGACGGCTGCCAGTGAACAGTATTTACATTTGTCAATAACAACAAACCTGACACAAATATTTGACGTATCTTTTCTGAGAACTTCTTCAACTCATCTTCACGGTCTCATAAGGGATTAACTTTTTTGAATGCCTCATGGGATAACTGGAAATATTCAACAAGATCTCTACAAAAAAAATTAACTGAAGTTGCCATCAAACGTTAAAAATCCGCAAAACCCAACGATAGATTTTACTAAATAGAGTTTTGCTAGAACTGCCGCTTTCTATGCAGTTTTGAAACTGGCTGAAACTTTACAGTTCAGTCTCTTCTGAAGTTCCAAAACTTCAGTCATCAAAATCTCGTCATTGTTTTGTCATGTTATACTTAAGTTACTTTCAAGGAAAACAACGATCGTACAAAGAGAACAACCGTTCACAGGATTCACGTAGAAAGCCGTTTGAAAGGAAACTTCATTTGGATCCTAGCGTGTGCACTGAACTAGTTTTTAATATGACTGAATTTGTTGCAACCGTAAGTACTAGCCCTTAGTTCTGATTATAGTGTTACGTTACATAAACTTAATCGTACTCAAGTGCATGCTGAGCTTGATTATCCAAATATCTAATTATTTATGTGTTCAGCAAGACTTGAATCAACGGCTGGTGCGCGGTCACAAAATAACGCTGGTAATCGTCAAGAAAAGTAAACTAAAAAAATATGACAATACTTTGGATAGATGAGGGCTCTAGTACAGTTATTTAACAGAAGGATAAGCGAGTGTAAAAATTGCCGGTATCCGATTACCAAATGAAAGTCCAGCAAATGGACACAGTTGACAATGACAATAAAATAGAGGGTGACACTGGACGACATGCTCAGTTTCTTCAACAATTACCTATAACTAATTAGATGACGTGTAAGACTTAAAAACCGTGCGGCTCATTGATATCTCAACTCGGCAGCTTTCTAGAGACATACCAGGCTAGAGTATTGCTTAGGAATTATCCAGTGATGGCACACTCCTTATGACATAAAGTGGTACGCCGGTTAATTACCCGCTTCATTCTACTGAGTTAAAAAATGTCAGGCAGAGCATATCAAACGCTCTTTCGAAATGATAAGTAAATTAAACAAAATCGGGCTTACCAATAAGTTAATGTACTCCGTTGACTTTGAGTCATTCTTCACGAACGTTTCATTTCACGAGACTGTTGGTTGTATCTGTGAGCTCGTTGAAATTCTTAACATCACTTTGCCTCTACATATTGATATGCTGAGGGAAAATTATTCTTGGTCAGCTAAAGTGTCAGGCACTATTTTTGCTCGGTCCGGCTGTCAAACTGATAAGGTAGTCATTACAAATTCACTAGTGACCATTTTACTTCAAGGACTGAACAACAGTCAACCAGAGATATAAATGGTCTGTATTGTTGCCAGCGCTACGTCAATGATATGCTATTAAACAATCGTTCCAAACAAAGAAGAGTAAACCCAGTGAGGCACTGGAACAGTTTTCACATCAGTCTGAAGGTAACGTTTGAATTTGAGATTAAGAATTATCTATCGTTTCAGATGTCACATATGTAGTTGGGAAGTTGGCTATATTGAAACAACTATGTAGAGGAAATTCATGTATTCCCTTCAGCACCTGGATTTTTATTAGTTTTGCGTTAGTGCAACATAAACACGCATTGAAAAATACATTATTCATTCAAGTGATAAAACTCTGCACATGAAGTAATGTCGCGAAAAAATTAAACAGTCATGTCTGTCCTGCTACCCTACATTAGTTTTCCAAAAATGCATCGTGAATCAAAACTGTCCTCCAAGTCGGTAGTCATTCTGAGAATAAAGCAGGTTTATAAGAAAGTGTTTATTCAATCAGAAGAGATCTACTCGTCGGCGTCACTTCACATTTTGTCTACTTATTTGTATGTAACTGCGGCGAAAATCAGTTGAGTAGATTCAAACGTTGTTTGAACTCTAGTGTAAAGGAAAATTAGCCCCAGGGTGCAGGTTGATGTTACCGGGTAACGGTTTGTCCACAGCGGCTTAACATGTTCCGAACACTGGTAACTTCATCGATCCAGCTTGTGCATTCAGAATCTTGTCAAGTCATTCCAGTCCA